CTCAAAAGTTTGTTTTGCCATACAGAAGCCTTTTTAGTTTGCTATTGTCCCACTTACTTATGTTTACTTTTGATTCCTGTGCTTTTGGTGTCATATCCAAGAAATAATTACCAACATGCATACCATGGAGCTTTCCACCTAGGTTTTCTCCTAGGAGTTTAACAATTTCAGTTCTTATCTTTAAGTTTTTAATACATTTTGAGCTTACTTTTTTTTATAGTGTAAAATATAGGTCCAATTTTATTCTTTTCCATGTGGCCATCTAACACAATTTGTTGAAGACACAGTATTTACCCCACTGCATCCCTTGTCAAAATCAGTTGACAATGTATGTGTGGGTTTATTTCTAGGCTCTTTATTCTGACCCATTGGTGTATATGTCTGCCATTATGCCAGTTTTGACCAAACTAAGACAGATTTTTTAAATCTGTTTTTATAGCAATAGACCTATATGAGAGTAATTTCTTAAGATTTAATATTAATACTTTGCTTTATCCATAATCTGCACCAATATATACCTTTCAAGTGAGGGAATCACAGAAAAAAAAGAGTTACAAAATACCTGACTAAATGTTACTCAGCTACTTTTCTTGATAAAGTAGGAATAAGAACCCTGGCCATGTGAGATCTTGCCCAATGACTTCTACCACATGACTGACCACTGTTTCATATGATTAAGAAAAACTTACTATAGTTATAGTATATTGCAAAATTTTCCATTCTTCTGAATATAATTTCATAATTAAAGTATAAAAATAAAAACAGCAGATGGGAGAGAAAAGGGAGACAGCCTACTTTAGCAGCATTTCTTGGAGAGCTGGACAAGCAGACTGTGGGAACTGGAAAACAATGATCGAATTGCTAACGATGAAGTCACCAATCAATCATAATCAATTGACTGTCAAACCCCAATTTTGTTCATATTTCTCATGGATTGAAGTCCCTTTTTTATTTTTGTGAATGAAATACACAAAAGGCAAAGTTTTTGAGTAAAACAGACTGGAAGTCAAAGATTTAGAAATTCCCTTTTATCTCAATATTTCCCTGTGTCTTCAGTCCCTTATCTATATGATTTATATCATTCTTGCCTAATATAAAGATTCAAATTTTTATAGTTTGGAGAAAATTCACTCTTTACTTGTTTACTGTATAGTTTATATAATACCAATAAATTCTAAGTGTCCTATTTGAATGTAATTTGAGATTCATACATTACTGTGATAAAGGAGAAAATTAAATTCTTGTACCTAAAGAAAGCTACAAAAATTTGCATAATATATAAAATAATAAAAGGTAACAAGCCACAGCCAATTGCCTAATCATAAAATTTATAGAAACAAGTTCTTTTAACTATATTTGATATATTCAATCACTTTTTTAACAAAGTTTATAAAATTCTTACTAACCACATTAGGCAAAGTACTCTTCTAAACTTATGTATGCAGACGAAAACAAACAAAAAGCTGAAAGATCCAAAAAACTTCAGAGTAGCCTTAAATGAATTTTAAACTCAAGTAAGATTCCTATTGTTAAACCAAATGACCACGGACATGTAAGAACATGGCAACTCCTTGAGAAAAGTTGTTGATGAAAATGGCAGGAATGGCAGGTCTGAGAAGAAGAGGCATGCTAGCGTTAAAAGTATAGGAGCAAGGTAGATAACAAATCAATATATGTGCACATTATATGTTAAGGAAAGTTCATTGCTGGGATAGACATTATCAAGCCATTATGGCACAATGGAACAAATGCATTTTCTACACTGGATACTGAGAATGACGATAATAGTAATAATTAAAACATCAGCTACTATATAATATTTACTTAGTTTACTTAAACTTCATAATAACATGATGAATTGGTGTTATTCCCCAATATTACCAATGAGGAAATGTATATTTTTTCTGGTCAAGCCACATGTCCAAAACTGTAGTTGATAAATCATAGAACTCAAACCTATCTCCAAGTCTTTTCATTTAATCTGTAATATTCCCTGCTCTTAGATATATGGTCATACTGTTGAGATTGCTGAAGAACCATTAAATCTGTGGTGTATGAATACAGATGGAACAGATAGACCCTAGAGCAGATTAATAAATATTAGAATGAGAGAAAGGTGGAGAGGGGAACCAGAAAGCAAGACTCAAGCAGTCATGTTTGTGAATTTCTTTTTTTTACAGTTGAATAGAAGATTGGATGTCTTCTCAAAAAATATTTTTTTGCTTCCTTGTATGGTAAGGTGATCTTTAATATATGAGCAATGCTACTGGGTTTCTTTTTCAATAATCTACAATCCCTGAAATGTTCCTTTGCCTTGCTTCTTGGCAACAAGTTCTTCATTAGTGCTCTTTATAATGCAAAGGTCATGAGAAATAATTTACAAGAAGTCTATCAGAGTAAACACAAACAACTCTATTTTATTCAGAATACTAAAAAATCCTATTTGCTTACAGTGATTTAGATAACACACAACAAAATAAAAGCTTTCCCTTGGATAATTATGTTTTTATTCAATTATCTGATTTAGCTGTCGAACCACTTAGGGAAAAAAATCCTTCTGCAATGCACATAGAATAGATGTCTCAAAATGGCTAATGAATAAATCAATGGTTGAACAAAAGTATTTTAAAAAGGAAGTACTTACTTGGTTAGCCTCTCAGAGCACACTTGAGATAATGCATGCTTTCTTTGATTAATCAAAGTCTTTATATTACAAAACAATTATTACTCATCAAAAAATTGTGTCTTATTTTACTGCATATACGTATGTATGTATGAACCAATGAGAAATTATGGTTGCCAAAAAAAAAAAAAAGCTACTGCAATCTTAGGATGGATTAAAACAAGCATCATAGAATCTAGTGGAGGAGACAATCCCATTTTTTCTCTTTGCACCAATCAGATGATATGTAGAGGGATACACAATATGCGGGTGAAAACTTGATTATCATAAGAATTTTTTAGCTATTATAAAAAAGAAAAGGGCATAGACAGAGAAAAAGGAAAAAGAGGGTAAGGTCCCTGAAATTACATTACAAAAAAATAGAAGGTGGTATTTCCAACAGACATCTTAATGAAAGATCTACTCACTCTGAGTTAGACTCCAGGGGAGGGGCAAGTGTTAAGAATAAAGTAAGTCATAGGGATATTTGAAGGAGTAATTGCTTTCTCATTGTAGGTGGTGGAAAATAGCATAACTCCTAGCGATGGATAAGAAATTTGGGTTCTCAGGAACACAAGGCAAGTGGAGAAGAGGAGAACAAGAGTGTACAAATGCAGTAAAGAGCTAAATGAACAGATTGTGGCAGGCTTTGCTCATGAATTTCACTTCATGCTAGTAAAAAGGCAATGAATGATTTTATTCATGAGAGTAACATGGTCAGATTCCTGTTTCAGAAAAACAAAACAGTGCAAGGGTAGTGGCCAGATCATATCCGCTAGAATTAAAAGCAAAGCATCATGTTTGACAGCTCTTAAAATAGTCCAGATGAGGAATGGTGAGGGCTGAGTCAAGGCAGGATAAACATGTTGATTTCAATTGCTCTCGTTGTTCTCAATAGAAAAGAGAATTTAAGGGGTGAGATGAAAACTTTTACACTGTGTCTCTCCTAAGCAAGGAAAGTGTATTCACTGAAGAATAATTAAAATACAGTCTTCCATCTTAATTGTGCCCGTGTGGAAGCCAGATTCTTCTACCATAACTGCTAGCTAAACATGTGAGATTGGATACCAGATATGTCCCTATTTTACAAAAGAATGAGCAACATCAGGAGTTCAACTTTTCTAAAGGTGATATGCTCAATGCTCTTATTACAGAGGTGGGGGGCACCTAATTACATTAATCAAAACAAATACAGTTTCTATCCTCAGAGATCAGTCAGTACACCTTGCCAAGGTAATAACATCTTTTTGTTCCTTTCACCTTTTTCCTCAAAGGCTGGGTTACTTTGTTTCTGCCAATTCCAGATGCTCATTTCACTTAGCTCAGCATTTTGTCTTATTTCTTAAAGTGTTTCCAAAGTTTCTTAAAAGTTTCTGTAACTCTTTTTTAATTTTTTTTTTAATATTTATTTATCTTTGAGAAAGAAACAGAGTGCAAGCAGGGGAGGAGCAGAGAGGGAGACAGAATCCAAAGGAAGCTCTAGGCCCTGAGCTGTCAGCACAGAGCCTGATGCTATGCTGGAACCCACAAGCCATGAGATCATGACCTGAGCTGAAGTTGTATGCTTAACTGACTGAGCCACCCAGGCGCCCCAGTTTATGTAACTCTTAATCTACCAAATAGCCTAAGTTTTGTAATTATCAGTAATTCAGGCTCTTTCTTCCTTTTCACAGATCTGATTTTACAAAGCATGAAAGAGTTCTTACCTAAGATGTGTTTCCTTGGCTCAGTCAACTAGTATTTAAATAGTGCTGCCCCTAATTCCTGGTAAAATATCATTTTTGATTTTTAGCATTTAGAGCCTGCCCATAAAACTTATCAGGAAGAGAAGAGTCTCTGAATTTATTGCCTGTCCTTACTTTAAAATTGCTATCAATGAAATTAAGTCTTAACTACTAGATTCAGTGCTACCTAATTACCCATTTCTTCATTTTATAACTTTACTACATGTAATTTTATTAATGGAGATTCAAGATATCCTAATTATAACAGGGCATGTAGAAATGCCTATTTTTATATCAAGTAAGCTGAGAATTATAAAAGCATATCAATATATATTAGTTAACACCTGCTTATTGTGTGCAAAACAGTCAGTACTTCTAATGAATGCCATTGTGTTTGATGGGCATTTATAGATTCTTTTTTAGATTCTATGGAGATAATCCACAAATTCCTCCAGAATTAACATGTTCTAAAAATTCTTCTCTAATCAGAGTCTACAGCTCCTCAGCATGGAAATGTGGTTTCAAATATATGATGTCATCTTATTACTTTCCCATTATTATATTTTTAATGAAAAATAGTTGCCACAATGTTACATTAGTTTCAAGTGTAAAACAAAAAATGTGGAAGCTTCACGAAGTTGCATGTCACCCTTGCACAGGGCCATGCTCATCTCTGTATCGTTCCAATTTTAGTGTATGTGCTGCCAAAGTGAGCGCTACTTTCTCATTATTTAATGTAAATATGGTGATGGATTATCTATATGGAAAGCACTCCAAGAAGAGAGAACATGTTATTTGCTGTTGAAAGACTCTGAAATAACAATGACAAAAAATGTTATACCACAATGACTCGCCCAATCAAAATGGGAAACAGAAGAAATGTGTGGTAGAAGAGAGGACAGGGCTAAGACACTTATCAGGTAATGTGTATTTTTCTGAGGCTCTGGCACCAGCATTTTATTAATAATTTATAAGTTCGTTTCGCCATTACAGCAAAGATTTTCTGAAAAACCTCATTGCTTTTTTTTAGAAAAGCATTTGAAATATTTAAATAATAGATATTTCATTGGTTAATGTCAGATATTATCATATATATCCAAAAGAAATATTTTAAACTTAATTGCTTCATCTATAAATATTTTGTTTCTAACAGATGTAGTAACCAAAATACCAACTATTTGAATATTAATAGATCAAATAAGAATTAACATTTTATTTATTTTCCCGGGTATTTAAATATAGTCCAAGTTTTTAAGTTAAAAGGCATATGTTTTCCTTTATTGTGTAAATGTTTCCTTTATTAAAATCTTCATTTTCATATAAACTAGATATTTTCTGAAATATTTTTTCTTCCAGTGTTTTATTTTTCAATCTTTGCACCATTTCCATATTGCTTAAATTACTGTATGAGTTGAATACCTAGAAAGATAGGCCACTTCTCTTAAGTACTTTTTTGAAATATTCTTGTTATTGCCAACACTTAACAAAATTCCTTCCACATACCTCTTACCCCCACAAATGCTGTTGGGGTTAGAGGTGACCTACAATTTTTATGTGATGTACAATTTTGCAATTTTAAAAACTCTGAATATCTGTGAAAAATGTGACACACATGAGTTTTAAACATGTTTTCTTATACAAAGTAATTGTAATTGCTTTCCAAATCTTTTAATCTCTGATTGTACCAGTATTGCCATGAGCTTATTTCAAGAGTAGAGATGTAAGAGGAAATATTAGTGCATTTTCTTGAACCTAATTTCCTACATTACATAAGTGATTGCAAAACATAAAAGTATATTTCTTCAATTTTTCAATTATCTATTATAATTATCAATTATAATTCTAGCATCTATATATTTTTTGAGATGAACTTTTTCTATTCTGAATTAGTGAATGTGCTAGAATGTCTCTTTAAGTGGTAACTCCCCAAACTTGGCATCTTTATTAGTTTGCATATTTCTAAACTAAGCTGGGAACTACCTTTTTTTTTTTCATTGCATTGCTTTGGTGCTTTCTAGTATGTGGTTACAGCATATTTTTATAGCATTCTTAGGTCTCCTGATTCAGTCTTAGACATGTTTTCTAGCGACAGACTCAGTTATCCTCTGAAAAAACAGTTTTGAGGGTAGTGGGAGGGCAGTTGTCCTGGATGACAGTTCAATCCAGGGTGGGCTTTTTGCTACAATGTTTTTCATGTGTGAATATCTACTTATTAAAAAAAAAAAAAGCTTCAGACTGAGATCTGTTTACTTGCTCATTTGTTTCTTAAGAAAGGTTTGGGGGATAATAACTTCTTCAGAGTAAAGTCATGATTCACCACAAAACAATATCAATACATTGTATTTCCCTTTAAAAAGAAGTGATCAGTATATTAGTCTCTGTATTTGGAAGTTTGATAGAAACATTTGCCGTATCACACAACAGAAATTTAAGCATGAGCCCTCAAGTGCTAGTTAGTTAATAACAATCCAACAAACTCAAACAATTGAGATAAACCTTGCATAGGTAACAACACAGATTCTTGAGTCAAACAGACCTGCCTTTCAGTTGTAATCCTGCTATTTACATGCCTGTAACTGTGAACCACTTACCTCAAATCTGTTATTCTTAATTCTATTATCTTTAAAATGTGGATAACAGCAGCATACTGAATTCAATTCAACAGTATGTATTGAATTCAATTATTGGAGTAATAAATGACAATTTATGTGAAGCAGTTTGAACAATGCCTGATACAGAGTAAAAGCTCACAAATTGGTAGTTAAAAACAAGATGAGGTAAAGTTGTTTATATTTCCCATGGCTAAAATTTCAACACCAAAAAACATAAATTTGAATGTTAAGTATTCTATATTAAATTAAGTATGAAATAGTTTAAGTAGAAAATGTCACAGAATACTATCACATTCACCAAAAGTAATTTTTTTACTACAAACAAAAACAGCAACAACAAAAAAAAACAAAACCCAAAAATGAAAAACAAAAACAACAAAAACTCACACCATAAGTTAAATATGCATTTACAACTTAAATTTCAATAAGCATTTAAAGTTCTACAGAACTGTCTGTTTGAAGGAAAAGAAGGCTCTATTCTCTGTTTTAACTTAATTTCTAAGAGGAGTTGTTCTTGTGCTTTGGCTAGTTGAAGGAGCTTTGAAAGTTAAGGATAAAGCACAAATATTTAAGACAAAGAAAAAATTTGCAGGTAATTGCAGACTCTATTAAAGCCTTAATTAAAGGGCACTAGGAAAGCGAATTAGCACATCTGAGATTTTAATCAAACTGCTATTTCAACCAATTTATTAATTGACTCCAGGATTAGGCTGTAATGTGCACTGTTAAGATTATGTTCGTGATCTGAAAACCCTACGACTATATCTCACTATTCTTATCTCGGGAATAACCGAGTTGAAACATGCATTTAAAAGGGATCTCCTAGTTTTATAGGGACGCTTGTAGATCTTGCAAGAGCATTGATCATTCTATGCCTACAATAGCTATATATATATATATACACACACACACACACACACACATATATGCATACATATACATATATATATATATATATATATATATATAATTTGGATTTCAACATTCACTTGTTGAGTGACTGAATGCTTACAGATATTTGGATTCATCTAAAGACAAAAGACATTCTTGACTTAAAATATAGTTCAAACAAGAGTTATAGCAGTCTATAATACAACATAGAGCCTATAGTTAACAATACAGTGTGGTAAATTTCAAAATTTGTTAAAAGATTTCATGTTAAGTTTTCTTACTAGAAAAATTAAATAGCAAAGTGACATAAAGAAATGGTGGAAAGGATGGATATGTTTATTACTTTGATTGTCCTTATGGTATCATGGGTGTATTCATATGTCCAGACACATCAAATCGTATACATTAAATATGTGTAGTTTTTTTTGTGTGTACATGTCAATCATATCTCAACAAAACTATTAAAAAATGTTAAAAGAAGGTACTTCTGCATTCTTGGCAGGAATAGAAAAAAATTATTACATATATAAAAATAAAATTCATTTTTAAATATCTTAAAGATAATTGTAGTAAAACCAAAAGGCATTTTCAAACTACATGCAACAATCCTATAAATTCCAATCTCAATATAGGACCTTGTCTTCATCTGTTTGGGCTACTATAACAAAATACAATGCATCAAATCACTTATCAACAGTACACACTTTTTCTTACAGTTCTGTAGGCTGCAAAGTCCAAGATCAAGTCACTGGCAGATTCAGTGTCTGGTGAAGGCTTCTTCCTATCTGTCCCTCTTTTAGTGATAACCTCATGTGGCAGAAAGGATGAAGGATCTTGCTGGAGTCTCTTTTATAAAGGCACTAATCCCATTCATCCTTATGATGACTCTTCCCTCATGACCTAATCACCTTTCAGAAGTGTCACTTCGGGGCACCATCACTTTGAAGATTAGGTCACAACATAGAAATTTTGAGAGGACACAAACATTCAATCTATAGTGGGCCTAACTTATCCTGAAGTCTTCAATCAGTAGATTACCCTACTGTATTTTCTGACATACAATAAAAGTGAAGAAACACAACTTCACATAGCCTTCTATATATACATGTATATACATGGACATGTATATATTTACAGAGTGAAAGGGACTCCCTTCTACTGTAAAAAGGTTATGTGTTACTCTGCTTGAAGCCAAAGGGAGCAAACTGAAATCCCTTATAATTTTTTTTTTCTTCAGGTGATTTTTAACACCTGCTTATGTTCTTACCTCACTAGATAAACAAGAAAATACTCCTTTACTTTAAATATAGTGTTTTTGAATTCATGATCCATTTTAAAGTGTTTGGAAAACACAAGCAAAAGGCAATTATAAATTTTCCAGTGGCTAGGCATTTTCAGCTTTTACAAGAGTAGCACCAACTCGGAAGTCTCTAGTTGTTAGTGAGATTAACCAGTAGGGCCTGTTGTAAGAACAGATTTAATTTTTTTTTCATATAGCAGTGATTAAACATAAAGATTTTGACATTGCCAAACAAGTGTATTAATCATGCCTCTTTGTTTTTTGTATTTCTGAAGCTTTGACATCTGGGGCCTTGCTGTCCAGGACAGACTGCTTCCCTCAGGGCTAGCCAATTCCTAGAGATAGTAAAGGATTCACCTGTAAGAGTGTCTTTCTTTCTTCTTCTTTTCTTTCTTTTCTTTCTCTCTTTCTTTTCTTTTCTTTCTTTCTTTCTTTCTTTCTTTCTTTCTTTCTTTCTTTCTTT